ATTTATTACATGCTCGATGACATGTAGTTGCGAAAATAAAAATAAAAAAACGAGAACAAATTATTACCTAGTAACAACACAATAAAAAGTAACTGCAACACAATTTTGAAACGTACCGAGTCTTTTGTCGCCGACCGATTTTGTCATGAACTTTCTCATAGCGGCTTGTAGCTTTCAGTTATAGAAGTAAACTGTTGCCCGTTTGAAACTGTTGGCGGCGACAGCCTTCCTACGTTCACCATATCGTGTTCGATGTTTTGATTTTTAATGTTATCTACCTTTTTCTATGTTTAACGCTTGTATTGTGTTCGTGACCATATGTTAAAGATTCCTGATAAATTCCATTGAAGAGTTTTGTCGGTGTGTGATGGTTCCTGAACTTTTCGCGGTTGAACGCCGGAGTTCGCGCTCTTCATCACGAGAGCTGCAGATTTCAAGGAAAGGACTCGACTAAGCGGGACTTGCCAGTGCACTCACGTTACGATAGCGTGAGCTAAATCGTGAACCACCAGGCCGCCTTAATAAATTCTCTTTGCAAGACTACGTCTTGCGATCAGCAGGCGCATGGGTAATGGGGCTTGAAGCGTTGGACGTATTCTGGTATTGGCTAAAAGGCTTAGCACGGCGCCATATACACTGCGTCCCAAAAGTATACAGCCACCCATAAATCTCACAATATCCCTCCTACACGACGTTTTCAAAAAAAGCCTCTAGGTATAAAATGTGGTAATTACCAGTACCAATTTGCATGCCAACTCCGAGAACTGACTTTCCGTTTCAGCCAAACTTCAATTTCTTTATTTTTGAATTAATTTCTCACTATGACAAATTGTCCACATACAGTATATCCGCACCGCATATTTTCCCATATGCGTCTCATTTTTTCTCGTGGTTAAACTTTCTTCACTCATCTCTACTGGTGACGTTTTTCCAGGTTTTACGCACGGAGGGTCCCCACTGTTCTCGGTTCGAAAGGGGGCATTATTATCGCAAAAAAAAGCTTCAAGGGACTGTCGAGTCGTCAAATCGCAAGATAGTTTGAGCGCGCAGCTCTTACATCTGATCAGTTTGTCAGCGGGATCCCGCCATGGATATGGATCGGAAGAGTTTCTGGCGTCCTCCTTTGCTGTCTGAACGAGATAAACGTCGTATCCTGAAAGAAGCGTCCAACTCCACGATGTCATGCAGGGAAATAAAGTCATCGCTGAATCTCAATGTCTCGAAAAATACTGTTTGGCGTGTCTTGAAGAAGTCAGAGTTCATCATCAGAGAGAAAATGAGGAAGGCACCGTTCCTGACAGACCGCCATCGCAAAAACCGACTCGCCTTTGCTAGAAGATGCTGCCGAACCGACTGGAGCAAGGTTAGCTTTCGTGCTGCGGTGCCCCCCCCTGCTTGTCTTTTCAGTTTTTTTTTCTCCAGGTCGTGTTTTCCGATGAGAAGAAGTTCAACTGCGACGGCCCAGATGGAAATAGATTCTACTGGCACGATCTCAGGAAAGATAAGCTCAATTTTTCGAGGCGGAACTTCAGAGGGGGTGGTGTCATGGTCTGGGCTGCGATCGCATCAACGGGACGTTTGAAGCTGTGCTTCGTATCGAAGAAAATGAACTCTTCCGACTACGTAGAGGTAATGCGACGAGGTCTGTTACCTTTCTGGCGAAGGATACGGCATGAAAGTCCTGTATTCGTGCAAGACAATGCACCAATCCATGTCAGCCGGAGCACTCAAGCGTGGTTCAGCCGTCATCAGATCACTCTTTTGCCCTGGCCAGCGAATAGCCCAGACCTAAACCCTACAATCTCAGCGCGACCCAGACCTAAACCCTATCGAGAATGTTTGGGGCTTCATGGTACGCAGGATATACGCGCACAATGCGCGATTCGAAAATGTCCGTGAGCTCAAGGAGGCTATCATCGATGCATGACACCATGTCGACAAAACACTTATAGACCACCCCTATTCGAGCATGGACAACCGCATTTTCGAACTTCTTCGAAAGAATGGGGCTGCAATAGATTATTGAAACGACGATTCATTGAATTTGTTGTACACTTCTTGTTTCTGAATCGATTCGTTTAGTGGCTGTATACTTGTGGGACATTGTCATAGTGAGAAATTTTCAAAAAATAAAGAAAGTTGAAGTTGCTGTGGAAAGTCAGTTCTCGGAGTTGGCATGCAAATTGGTACTGGTAATTACCACATTTTATACCTAGAGGCCTTTTATAAACGAGAACGTGTGTAGGGAGGGTGATTTGTGAGATTTATTGGGATGGCCTGTCTATACTTTTGGGACGCATGTAGTGAAAAAATGGCGAAAAAACGAAGTGAAACGGTCAAAACCTGCCAAGAAAAGCCTCCGTTATTAGTGACTCGAAAAGCAATTTCGGACGAGTTTTCAGTAGACACCTTGCCAATAATCGCTACGGTGGATACGGCGCATTGTATGTACTCTATCCATGAGCATCGCGCGCTTGATTACCAATTCCTACCACTGTTCACATTTTACTTAGCAATATGAAGCATGGTGCAAAGCATTGGGTCATGGCCGTCCATTTGTGGGCGGGCGGGGCGGTAGTGAGGCACTTCGGATCGGTTTTGTTTGTAGCTTGGTAGGGCCCTTATAAACGGCACTCTCTCGGAAAAGGTGCTACGCAGCACCTGCTCAGTACTGCGGAATTCCGTCTTGCCAGGCGGCATCAGTCCTACTGTCCTCGGAGATTTATCGTGCCAACTGCCTTTATTAAGTATGAGTAGCTCAGTGAGGAAGAAAAAAAAGCATGGAGTGAGCTTTTAGAAACCTATCGGTGGGGGGACGTGTTGTCGCAAGTGGAGTCCTGGGTTGAATAGGTTGATCGCACAAATCCTCGACTCTTGAAGCATTAGGAAGTTGTACTACTTCACAAAAGTGAAACAAAACCACAGCTTAGTCATTGAAATGGGCTAGCCAGATTTTTTGCCTATGAGTGGGTAGATTGGCTGGGCTTTGAAGAATCCATCTAGTGCCTTTTCGACGTCGTCGTGGGTTTTGAATTTTTGACCGTCCAAATGGCGTTGCAGGTTCGAGAATAGGTGGTAGTCAGAGGGTGCAAGGTCTGGAGAGTATGGTGGGTGGAGAAGGACAGTACATCCCTAGTACACACTTCGTTTCCCTTGCAATGTGTGGGTGTAGACTGGCGTTTCATGCTGAAAGCACACTTTGGCTTGCTTTCCCCATGTGTTCGTGTGGTGAACCTTCAAATTTCTTAGTTGAACAACGTAGATGTCGGCAGTCACTGTTGTACCTTCTTTCAGTAGCTCCCAGTATTCTACCCCACGAACACTCCACCAGATGCATAGCATCACTTTCTTTCCATGCAGGTCAGGTTTCGGGACGTCTTCTGCTTGTCCTCCTTTGTCTACCCATTGGGCACGGCGGCGCATGTTGGAGTATAGTACCCACTTTTCATCTCTGGTGATTAGGTTGTCCAGCCAGGAGTGCATACGCTCTAGGGTGAGTAGAGAAAATGTCGTATCGACCCTCCGATCTATGTCTCCCTCTGATAATGAATGTGGTAAATGGCCAAATTTTTGAACTTTTTATATTGACTTAATCCATGGACGTCGGATGGCTAACCCCAAGCTAATAACAGCTCACGAGTGGTTTGCTTGGGTTTGCCTCCACCTCCTCCTATAATACGCCCAAATCCAAGTCGGTGACCGCCCTGTCTTTTCGTCATCTCCGATAGAATACTCGCCTTTCTTGAACTTGGCGAACCAAGAGTAGACGGTGCTGCGAGCGGGAGCATTCTTCTTATAAACATCCTGCAGGCGGAGGTGGGACTCGTTAGGATTAAGGCCAGAAAAGACAGGAACAACATGACGTTGCGGAGATGTTGTTCAGAGGGCGTGAATTCAGGCAGCATATTAGACCACAAACCAATACGTTCAGGCAAACATTTCAAATGGCTTTGTAGGGAATTCTTTTCCCTATCGAGCGGCTTTTCGAACTGTCTTTGAAATCTAGAAGTTGGGGGATGAACCTTTCTGAATGAGGAACATCCCACAAATGTCCCAGGACTTTTGAATCAACCAAATAATGTTCTCTCTTATCCTTTGCCTGACTTACTGATACTTTCTTTCTGAAGCATTTCGTTCGCTATTTGGAAGAACAGCGCTATACACAGACCATCTGGGATGGAAAGAGCAGTAAGGGAACTGCATCCCCACGTAGCACTTGAAATTGAACGTTGGTTGTGACTTCTGAAGTTGAGCGTAAATAAAAAGTGAAAAGTAATTGCGAAGGCTCCTACCAACTATTGCTTTCCGACGTCAGAGAAAAGCTTAAAAAAGTAAAAAAAGGTCGTTTTCGTACCCATATTGCACATTTGAGGGGGAGATTGTTGTCGGCAAATGGGTCAGTTACCATGAGCACGAATCGGAAGTCGAATTCCACATCGGCTAGCCCTCGAACCAATTAAGCCTTCTACCCTGCGGAGGCGGTGAATTGGTGTCAAATTTTAGGATCAAAGCACTCACTCGGCTGTCCCCGTGCACTCAAAAAGTCGCTACGGTTCCCAGTAGAGGGGAATATGTGTGCCGCATTCCAAACACGGATTAATCAACGGCAAAATTTTCACTATTTTTACTTGCCTTTGACTGGGCTCTCCGGAACCCTCTTTTTACCCTCAACAGACCAGCATTTACAGCATCCTGATCACTTCATTCATCACTGGTTCTCCAATGTTTGTCTTGACTCTCGAGTTTTCAGCCACCTGTTCGCACATAAACAGCTGTTAACCATTCCTTGCCGGTTTCGCTGGTAGCGCTTGTGTAAGCAACCGGTCCATTGACCATTACCTGACAAATAGAAGGACAGCGCGTCAAACGTGGATTTCACATCCTCGACAACTCATAAGTGAATGTAGCTCTGCCTTAACTTTATTGTTAAAAGCACAAATATATACATAATACAAAAAAAATAATGTATGACGGCTGATGATAGGACCGCAGCTCTGCTCTCACGTCTCAGAGTTCAATGCTCGACATGCACATTCCACACATGGCGATAACCCTGATTGGCCAGATTGCATTCCGACCTCCACTGGACGGTTGCAAGGAATCTGAAAGCCAAGACATGACAGTGGCCAAAAACTGTTGATGATTCGTGTGACATTCCATCGAGAGAAGTGCAAAAGCCAAACACGCCTTCTCCGTCTCCGAACAGAGCGCCAGAAGCAAATGGTAAAGGTCGAATGATCGAAGAACTGACGAGAGGTTCAATGATAGAATTTGGAAGCGCGCAGTCAGAGATGCTTTAGTGGAGAAGAACCTGCGAAAGAGCCTCGGAACAGTCGAAAAAGTGGAACATGGCCCATTTCGGCGACGGGGTGGGCGGCATTTTGCTCCCCATCGATGTGTCGACCCATCTAGATAGACCTTTGTGAATTGACACGTTTCACAATGGTGGCCAGAGGAGCTTGCTCCAGCTTCACACGCAGAAGTGCGAAATGTCCGCCTAACCCCCGGGGTCCCCCGCCGAACTGCCCCCCGGAACATGCCAGTTGAAAATTACTATGAAAATTGAAAAATTGTCGACGTCTTTGTGGCAGTTTATCGTGAGGAACGAGACTCACCACATTTGTCTGGGTCTGCTGGCAAGTGGTAGTGCACGTCTGTTGACAAAGAGGAACGCAGACAGCAGGCGGCTGTGCCTGTAGGCAGCGAACTTCACATGGCTGAATACAGGCGGCTATGCAAACTTGCACCTAAAAACAGTCATCATTATGTAAGAGTGAGTAAAATAGTATGTATAGCCACCTGCGCGACCAACTATTGACTAAGTTCGCATCTAGCGTTTGATAGTTCCACAATGTGGCGGCTTCTACAGAAAGAGGTGGTCTTAATTTTCTTATGGCTTTTTTCGAACCAATTTTTTAGACGTTCGACTTGTATAGGAAAAAAATCCCAATGATTTTTCTCGGCGGTGTTTCATGGAACAAGTTCAGCGAAGTTGAAAGATTTTGCATTGAAACTCTGTCCTTGCTGAGCTGTACTCCAACAAAGGGACGTAATGGTTTCCTGCATCCCCAACCTTTATCGTGTCCGAACCAGGGCACGCCATCGTTGTGATGATCACAAGGGGGATCGTATTTGACCGCGAGGGAGGGGGGGGGGCGTATTTCAGGATGGAATTAGATGGAATTTTTCAGAAATGATCATAGCGCGATAGCGTGCCCTGGTCCGACACCTTCCATTGCGAGCGGGACAGTTGTAGTAATAATTAGTAATTTATGCTTATAGGAATTTTCCTCGCACACCAAGTGAGGTGGAATAGCTCGCGTGAAACGAGAAATCCAATAAATCAAAGATGGGAAACTTATGCTATTTTCTCTAAAGGTCAGATACGAGTTCTCCCTCAACCATGTACGTCCCTCCATCACGAGATGCTCAATATTGATGTACCACTAGAGCTTCACAACTAGTCGGGGTTACCATTATGAATATCTAGTGCTGTTTACTCCATGCTTTTCCAGTTTTAAAATCAACATGACACGTTGGCATAACTGGGAAAGTTGATGTCCACACCCACTATAGGGACAGAGGAAAGAATGAAAAAAGTGTGTCTCGCGCCTATCAGCGTTTTAAGGTTTAAAATCCAGGAAAAAAATATCCCCTAAATGGGATAGTTTATGAAGAGAATGGGAGAGTAGGTATTATGACGGATACGAAATCGGGGTTGTATCAGAGGAGGAGACTATGGAGGAGTGATCGTATTTGGAAGAACTTCCCCCTCGGCAGGACGGGTGAAGTCGGTGAAGTGAGGAAGAGATCTACAAGTAATCAAAGAGGATTTCCTCGAAAAAGCGTATCCAAAGGAGCAGCATCAGACCTTTGATAGATGGTTCAAAAAATGACTGGGAGGAGTTCCCATCTCTTTATTGCGCACTGCTGGGTCACCTGCATTCTTTTCATCTCGCTACAAGGTGTGAGTGCTCGGCGACTGTGGGGTTACCTGCTCTGAAAGCTATTGTTTCCAGAAAGAATAGGCGTCAAGGAGTCCCCAGCAGGCGCGGGACGCCCTAGCCCGCTTGCCCCACTTGGATGGATCCGATGAGCAGAAATTTAGGTAAGTGATTTTGATATCCCACGCATAACTCTCGATCATGAAGAAATTATCAATTTTTGGAAGGTATCACAGCGAGGGCACGTCGTTCCTCAAAGCAGGGGTCAGGGTGAGGTGTCCTAGATCGCTCGAGGGGAGGAAGGTCGTATTTGACCAGTGAACTTTCTTAATTGTTGATTTTTCCCGTTTCACTAGCGCTTCAACCCTACCCCCCCCCCTCTTCCCCCTAGCCTTTATCAACTACTAACTGGGCAGCGAAACTACTATTAATGGTACTTTGTGTCAAAGCTGTCTGTTCAGAGGACGGTAGCAGAAGTTACGGGAAAATTGGTGAGAAGCGTGAGAAGGATGTGGGAGGGGGTTGTGCCGGAGCGAGAATTCTAGAATTCTATTCTGAAGAATTCTTTCCGGATAGGCCCTGCTCTACAAGCGCGCTTGGAATTCAGAGCTGAGCAAAACCTCAGCAATGCTATAAGGTTGAAGTAAGAAGAATACTTCCATAGTGCACCTTGAAGATAGTTGATTATCAGGCTCAAATCAGGTTCCTTGCGACTTAAATATATTTCAAAATTTATAATTCAAAATTGTCACCGGCTTTCGCAACTCTGAACTGAATGCATTGTTTTGTGACACCTTTGCGCTTTTACTATGCGTTTACCCTTCTCGTCCATTGAATTCAAATGAAACACTCACTGGAATAAGCGCCACTGAAGGTTGAGGTGGAGGTGGTGGCGGTAGTGTAGGCGGAGGCGGTGGCGGAAGGGTCGGTTGTGGTGGAGGAAGAGGTGCCGGGCAGCACGTCTGGCAGACCGTGTCGCATTTCTTGATGCACAGTTGAATACAAGTTGGTGTCGTGCAGCTGGACTGACAGGTTTGCATACAGACAGGTTGGCATGTCTGAGGCGATTTTGGAGGCATTACGATGACAATTTGTTGTGGTGTCGGTGGTGGCGGTGGAGGTAGTGTTACTGGTGGAGGCGGTGGTGGTGGCGGGAGTGGTTGTTGCACAGGAACTGCACAGACTTGCTGGCAGACAGTCAAGCAGCCTAAAAAAATTGGTTCTCATTCTGGATTGGAAATTTTGAGAAATTCCCCGAGACTGTTCTAAAGGTTACCCTGAAACGCCTCTACAAAAATTGTCTTCTCTTTTTGGGTTCCCTAACCCCGAAAGAACGTAGACCTTTGTACCTTTTGAACGATTAGGGATTTATTGGGGTCTTCCGCTCGCAGCGACAGATTCCTCGATAATGGAGGTCGCAGTGGATCATGTGACGTCTAACTTTATGTCCTCCTCCCCAATCTCAATATAAAGAGAAGGATGTCTAAACGGCCCTAGTGTCCGTCTTTCCCCTCCCCCAGAAATGGGCATTTGATTTCAAACAGGTTCTTTAGCGAGATATTCAATGTAGAGAATTGATTTTGACTACATTACCTGTGATGCACACTTCGGTCTTGCATTGCGGAATACACTGAGCTTGACAAGTGTCGAGACAGGAAACGGGCTGAAAAAGAGTTACTATAACTTGGGCTTGTTTTTTTAAATCCACGGTTTTCTCTATTTTTCCTTTCTTTATCTATTTTTTTATCAGCAAAGGCAATGGGCAGATGGCTAGGATGCGGACAGTGGGCGTGAGGGCCATTGATAGAAATGGTCTGGAGGAGGTTCAATTATTCTCCAGCACGCTCCCCTTGTTTTCGTTGCCAACAAACCCGTTGTGGTTTACACGCTTCAGACCGCATGACACACATGGTGTGTCATATACTGATCATCGATGTAAAATCGTTTATGAAGAATAGGACCTCAACAGGGAACGTGTTTGGCAACATTAGAACATGAAAGACATGTCAAATTGATCGAATAAAACACTGCACAGGGACAAATTCGTGACACACCATGGTGTCACTCGGTCCAGAACGTGTTAAAATTTTTTGATTCCCAATGACAAGCAAATATCCAGCAGTAAATGGGATTGTTCAGCTTTGTTGAGAGCTTTGGAAAGTGCACCATATATAGCTACAGAGTGCAACAAGTTTGGCGACCCGTGAGATTACCCACACTAGAAGCTATGCTCCTACCTTCCCAGGCCAATCTTCTGGCAGCCAGTGATGGATAGTCCCAGAAAGTTTCATTTCGGAGTTGACATTGATGATCTTTATCTAATTTGTGTGATGAATTAGATTATAAAGAAGTGGACCCACCTGGGCACAACAAGTTGTCGAGTACTGGGAGCAGCATCTCCTAGCACGGGAGACGTCCTTGGACACGTGAGTCTGTAAAAAAATGTTCCAGGATATAATGTTGAGCTCAAAGTAAGATGAATGAATCAAAGTTTACTGGGGTGGAGGCAATGTGGTAGAAAGCAGTTCCGCTTATCACGCGCGCTACGCTGGCGTCAAGTCTCGGACCTTGAGTCGGGGCAAACTGGGTCTTATATCCCTTCAGGTATCAGATAACTATCAAAGTCGTTCGGTGGGATAAAAGCGCCGGGTTGCATAATGGCTAGCCTCCATTAGTCTTTGCATAAGGCGATATAGCTCTCTGGAAGGAAAAAATTTGAAATAACGTTCTGCAAAATCTTGCAATTCCAGATGGCGTGGGGTGCTCCTGAACCTATATTAACCACCTTCTGGGAAGCGGAATTCGGAAAGCAAGGAATTCAAGAATAAGGAAGGAAGGAAGGAAAAGGAAGAGGAATTTGGGCTTCTAAAAATCTCTCCGGAAAACCCTGGTAAATAAGTTCACTCTAATACAACCATAAAAGGGCTTCTAAAAATCTCTCCGGAAAACCCTGGTAAATAAGTTCACTCTAATACAACCATAAAAGGGTAAATTAGGAGTTAATACTACGATTTCAAAATACAAAAGCTAGAAATAATTTGAAATTTAAAATAATAGCTGAAAAGAAGAGCGCTAAGCTAAATACTGCTTACCTCGTTTGCCGCTTGTACTGCGACAGTAAATAAATAAAGTGTGCTAAGTAAAAGAATCATTTCTGGACGGCGGTCCACATCCGTCAAGAGCTGCTTTTATAGGGTACATGCTTGAGGTGTGCCGGAGGCGGAGAGCAAAACTGGACGGACGTTCCGCGGAAATACGCTAGACTCGCGGAAAAAGTACCGTATCAAGCAGGAGCCGGCTAGAACTCAACGAGAAACGCGAATCTGTTAGTCAGCTCGTCAAACCATCCATTCGCTACTGCTGCCAAATGTACTCGCTGCTACAACAAGACCAGACTACAGGTAATTCACTCGGATGTTGTCAGACACGTTGTAGAAATGACTCAATGGTTACGTCAATAGTGGTCAATAGACTTGACAACCAGTTGGACACCCATAGGGAGCCTTACATAGGAACGAAGGTGTGGTGAGACATGAAAAATGGTAAGTGTAAGATGAAGTCTGGGCATGTTAGGCTCAGCCCTTGAAGAAATAGTAGAGGTAACCTTGCGGTTATCTAGTGGGAAGAATCGCATCACGATGATCGTGGAGCCTGCAGTTCCACAGAGCTTACTAGTGGGTCACTCGAAGTAAGCAGTGGTAAGGGCGCCAGGGTCTTTCGAGTTGTACTTCACTACGCCATTTTCGCCCGAAGACACCCACACATAATGTCTTCATTTACGTAGTGCACTCAATTTCCAGGCCTCTGATGTCTTCGGGGCTATCTGTCTCCGTAGCTGTCTGAACTCTCGTCAACGCGCTCAATGTTTCGTCGCCTCTCGGTTCTTCGCATGACCGCAAAATGCTTGGAAGTTTCTATTTACTGAGAATCTCATACAGAGCGTTCTTGACGGTCATCCCTACCCACAACCAGTGGTAACGCAGTGTTTTTCTATTTACTGAGAATCTCATACAGAACGTTCTTGACGGTCATCCCTACCCACAACCAGCCGCCGCTGAATGCTCTTTTGTACGCATTTTTGACTTTCCTGATCATCAACCAGGTGTTCAGGATTCCGACTTGAATGTTTAGCTTCGGTGCGTGAACCCTTCTTCTTTACCTATTTTCTCTACCTTTATCTGCTGTCTGCTATTAATACTAGAGCCTTGTAATCCATGGTCTGAGAAGTGTGTTTAATATTCATATTTTCAGACATCTTAAAACCCCGTGCTTGGGGGTACTGCGACAGTGGATGATTGTACTGACGTTAAGGACGATAAATTCTGGCCATCCGAGTTCGACCTTGCGGTTTAGCTTAGCCTAGGGTATGAGCCTTCCAAAGATCCGACAGACAAGAGCCTTGCTCACTCCGAGACGCTTCTGAATAAGGTGTACCAGAACACTTCCTTCGTAAAACTCAGTCATAGGCTCGCTATGAGGTCACACTTCGGCTGGAGAAAGGGCAGATGCCGCGCCAGAGCCAGCCGTGAATTGGTTCAGCATCCGCAGGAAACAAGACTCTATGTGCAATAATTATCTGCCGAGGTTCGCAGAATATGATGTGACCTTCCTAACCGTAGTGCAGGTCCCATCCGATAACTCTCACTCCGACCTGCTGTACTGAAATTCACGTAGATGTTTTTGAGTAGACAACTCAGGCTAGTAAACAGTCACCTTTACTCCATCGATTACTTCACTGATAACCCCTCACCTTTGTCGGCGACCTGTTAATTTTACTACTTTTGATGGTTGACTGGAGCTGAAGGGTGGGCGGTAGCGTCGAATACGCCTTGAGGCCTTTGCGCAGCTGATTCTAAGGAAGAGGCGAGCTTTCGTTGGGATTCTGACCATTTTTTGGAACTGGTACAAGATTGCCTTTGTGGCCCACATTGAGTTCCCATATTATGTTCACGTAAACAGGGCTTTTTGCTGTAAGTATAAGGAGAATGCTCCTTTAATCGGGATGTCTATTATGCCCCAGGAATTGCAGAGGAGATAGCAACAATGAGTATCTGTTCTGTTTAGTGGAAGTCGCCAATATTGCAGCCGGAGCTCTCGACAGTGATCGCCCACGTCAAAGGCCAAAACACTTCAGCTTCACACGCTGAATTGCCGCCACCTCTCAAATTGTGACCTCTACATATTTTCTCTGTGAGAAAAGGAGCTTTTGTTATCTCAGCGCAAAAGTGATGATTGATTCTGGCGGCGTTAGCTAGCAACAGCACCTAAAGGCCAACCTCAGGGGGTCACTGTTGCAAAAAACAGCTCTCAACGTTCTGTTGCACAAGACGTCACAAGCCTGAAAAAAAAGAAGTCTGCTTTGAGATGAAGAAAAACTGGTTGCATATCGTTATTGGATGCGTGATTCAGGTGGAATATTGCCGTTTCAAGAAAGCTGTAATGATAAGTTTGCCGAGCACAAAAAGCATGACAGCTGTCTCAGATGGGAAAATCGCTTGAAAAACTGGTCTTACTCCATACAAAGAACGAGCCCCGCCCTTTACGTCTTCGGGACATGGAACGAAAAAGAAAGCGAACACGTGCTCCAAATCGCCGAAGAAGGTGATAGGCGCTGAACCGAGTTTTTTTTGAGATCTTCTGAGGCTTCTTCTTGTGCAGTAACTTTAGTAGCCTATTTGGGTTACTAACAAAATCCAGATTCTCATTGGGCTCGGGAACTGCGTAACACTAAAGGTACTTCACGCGATCAAGTAGTCAGTGAAATGCCTCCGTGCATTTGGCATCGTTGTCCGCACTCGCAGAGAATATACCACTTTCGTCACTCGAAATGGCGAGATAACGAAGCTAGAGACGCGTGAGTTTTGCAACCGGTGCAACCGCGTACTGTAACTCTGCAAGACAACGGCTTACAAGCGGAATTGCGTGTGTACATAGCGTTGCCTGGAGCGTCGTAGGCGATTTTCTATGCTCTTGCCGCGGAATTGGTTGCACCTAGAATCCTGCTGATTGGATTGGGCTTGTCCTCATGATAAACTCGTCCAGGGCGCCAGCCCCACTGCTAGGGGGTCTGTGCTCAGGGTGTTCCCAAACTTTTTTTTCGCTTCTTTCTCTGCTGATGAGTTTTGATGGGCTACTGATTCATCACTGAGCACTTGCTACCTGTTACATTTGGTCGCGGGAATTGTTTTCAAGCAGTCTTACGATGCAGTTACGGTGAATATCCTCATGCTTTCCGATGTTTCACCGATTTGTTGTTGTGAAAATGGAAGCCATGGGAAGAGTGTTGCCTCCAGGAGGGAATAAGATGTGGTCACTGATTGTGAGTGCAAGTGGTGTCAAAAGCATTTACAAGGAGCTCGGGAACCGGACCGGATTGCACTTTATATCGCAGAGACTGGAAGGGTGTGTACTTCATTTGGGACAGCTCTCACACTTCGCAATGGCGCGCCTCGACGCTCTGTAATACGGTAATACACTGTAGCACGCTGTCGACGCAACCGTTGCAACCGCTCTCCAATGCTTCACTTTCAGACGACGGGGTTTGGATATGTAGATGTTGAAGAGTTCAAGGGATGCTCTCACCCAAGCGTTTGCGCTATTCGCAACATGGGTACTGAAGGTGTCTCTGTCTAGGTAAAGCTATGTCCCAGTGTAGTGCATTTTTGTCGTGGGCTAGGACACGTGCCGGTGGAATTGACATCCGGAAGAAGAACAATAAGTTAATGCAAAGAAAACACAAACAAAGACCTGTTTTTCACAAATGAGTGATCACTAGAGCTTGTTTGAAAACGGTTCACCACTTCACATAAGCAGATTAAAAAACTGCTCTCCAACTCTACATACCATCTCCCTCTCATCATATCAAAATTCTATGAGCCATGGCGTGACTGCCTAAAGGCAGTTGGCACCTGCCAGAACGGAATCGAATTCCGCGCCCCGCAGCGTAGCGCCTTTTCAAAAAGGTACCCTTATTAAAGACAGCGCCCGCGATCGGACTTTGGCAGGTTTAAGGGGTCAGATTTGTTAGAACAGGTGGCAAGTGAAGCATTAATCAAAAAAGTAGGAAAAAAGGGTGCAAGAACATGTAATAAGACCCTATTCGATTTAAGGCATCTGGACGAGTTTCGCAGATTTTGGGTGAGTTCTCCAAAACACATCGCAGCCTCTTGCGGCTGATTCTCATGAGGCCACTACCTAGGTTATCTCATCTAATCTAATTAATCCACGCTGGCATTGATAATCGATGTGTCTCTGAGTTAATCTGTCTATCTACAAACGAACGCTAGGAATTTAGCGATTATCAATGCCAGCGAGGATTGATAACTGTTAACCAGTCGGGCGGGATTAACAGGACAGGCGGGGTCAGCTTAGCATTGTTGACTCCGCCTTCGTCAATCAATCGATTTCGAGCCGCAAGAGTGGGATATCCGCTGTGGTTGCGGACTCCGCGATCTTGTACAGTGCAGGGTTTTTCACCTTGGTTGATCGCGGACGCTGCCTTTAAGCTGCAACATACCGACCCGGACGCCCACCGCGCTCGCCCGCCCACAAATGGACAGCGGTACCTTGTGCTCGTATTGCTTCATTTGCAAAGTAAAATATGAAGCGAAGAGTTGATATGAAGCGGCTGCGGTGCTGCATGGATATATTTGATTTATAATGCAGCTGTATCTACCGTAACGGTCATTGGCAAGATGCCTACCGGAGACTCGTCCAAACTTTTCTTCGCAGGTTTTTCACCGTTTCACTTCGTTTTTTCGCCATTTTCTCCACTATCTAGCGCCCTGCTAGCATTTTAGACCAAGTAATAAATTATCGTACCATATGCCTTTAAGTTTCCGCCTTCCACTGCAGCTTCGTCTGGAACAGAGGCAGTGGGATGTGAGGAGCGCCCAATGTTACAAGCGCGACGCGTTCATTCCTAGAAGGCGAAAATATACGGTGATCGTTTAGGAATACTACGCCTTCCTCATTGGTGTGTTTGTGCTGCATTGTTGGGCAAAGAGGAGGCGTGCAGTATGGAAGTCACAGCGCATGCTTGACCACACTCATGAGAACAGCTGAATATGCCTCCATGAGCTGCAGCATATACTCGATCAGCAAATGCAAGGAGATCTCTAAAAGATTTTGTCGTTAGCTTCAGTAGGTTTAGTTTCACACGCCTCACCACGCAACACTCTTTCGTCCACATTGTAGGCAGCGTGCCTAAAGATCACGACTGTGGAAGCTGGTGGCCAACTTTTTCTAAGGCTTCTTATGGTATATTATCGGCTGTTATCACTTTCTGCCACCCACTAATAATGTTCACATCCCGCCTGCTATCTTACTTCTTGGAACCGAAGTCCCATCATTGCTGTGGCCTGCTCTATGAATTTCGTGACCCTCCACTTCTAAGACCCTGTATATATCTCATCACTTCGTATCACTTCCTGCCACCTACCAATAGTGTTCCTACCCTAGCTCCTACATCACCTGTCAATTTGAGAGCTCTATCGCTGTTTTTGAAGGAAGTTATGAATTTCTGGTCAAACGCACACATACATACACACATACATACACACACACACACCAAAAGACAAAATGGCGGATCATATATAGTAGGATTTTACTCGAACAACTGACTATGTTTGTTGTGAGCACGTCAGAAATAAAACCAGAGCCCATAGGATCCTGCAACACGCGTTCAATTTGTCAGCCTAGTTAATCGAATATACAAAATGCCTTGGTCTTTTTAAAATATGAAAATGTTTGTGAGGAATTCGAAGAATGTGGTCATGCAAAGAAAAGCTGTTGAAGTGAGTAGAGAACAGAACTGGCCCAAGCGCACAGTCAGACGCTCTTGTCAAAATACAAAAACCACTCAGCTTTATTGTTCCAAAGTGGCTCCATTGAGCGCTGAGCTCTTGAACAAACCCTCAGTGAAAGTGCAATCAAACGAAACAAGCTAGCTTTTTGACGTGTAACAACAAATGGCAAATGTGAAACTATCGAAGGAGATTAGGTATTTCTGCGTACTGAGAGGTTTAACATCAGAAAAAGGACTGCTTGAATACGTTGCTTGTTACCTGCACAGTTCCGCAGCTAGAAAGCTGTTCTAACTTCTGGTCTATCAAGTGCTGACCAGGGAAGCCCGCCAATTATCATGAAACTGGATGGGGGCCTAGGTCTGTCGAGGGCCTGGAAAGGTGATCACAGTTATTGAAATCAAAATTGCTCCTGCATCTCACAGGCAAGTTATGAGGAAGCAAAACTCCCAAATTTGCTTAGGAATGGTCACCAGGGCGCCTGAGCGTGGACGCTCGGCTTTTTTATGCAAGACGGACGTGATATCCGTGTTGAGGAGGCCAAACTACCCCTAGGTATGAGGTTGCGACTGAATCAAGACTGATGAAAACTTTGAAAAAAAAAATTTTTTTCCCCACTGAAGGGTAATTGGGGTCATTTAGCAGCGTTCTCATCGCGCAACTGCTGATCTATGTATTTCTTGAAACGAATTTTATGCGGCCGAAGAACAAACGGTCTGAAGAGGGTAAGGCAGTGGCTGTGTTCTATGAAGGTGCTTCAGTCGCAGTGAAATCCTCTGTATGATGGCTATCATGTCTAGTGCTTGACCTGCGCTCGCTTACACAGTGCTGCTTCGGAAGATTGAAAAATTGGAGCCCCGCATGGGGTGGCGGGTCACCAGTGACGAGAGCCAAAACTTATTCGCCATAGCGAGGATCAAACCCCCATGTTACCGCCTTTGCCCCCCAACAAAGAGTTTACCGGTGCCAGGTCTTTTTGTTGTCACTGAGTTGTGAACGCCCGGTCATCACCATTGTAATTTTTGAAAGGTTATACTTGCTTGCAAAAAGCATTGTAGCAGTTTAGAGTTTTTATAGTCTGTTTAGTATCCTATCTATCCATACAACAACTATTTGAAGTCCCACGCGTAAGTTGTCAGACCTCCCCGGTGAAGGACTATCGTTAAGACATTCTCTTTTTGATCAGACTGTCACCCTCGTATTAACTGATTTTGCAAACTTATTGGATGCACGACTTCAAGGAAAATAATGACGGCTTTCATTTATAACAACAGCTCTTCGATCCGGTGCGCCATGTGCCCCACTTCCATGGGAATTCGTAGGGCTTCCGAAATGTGCCTTTGGCCAATTCAATGACTTTTGAGGACTAGTTGATGCAGAAATCAGTTGCCAAAGGAATACGAGGCTATCCGTGACGACAGGCGGGACTCGAACTCGCACTCGTCTCCGGCAAGAGGCTGGAATTAGACTATTTGCCCACACAATCAGCTTCTTGTTGTAATTCCTGAACGCTAATGCGGCGTTAAAAAGCACTACCCATAACAAAGCAGATACAAATGTTTTTGGTCACTGGTCAAGCCTGGTCTTACTTAACTAACCTTTTAGGGATGGTTGGTTGACTGTACAATGCCTTGGATGAGTTGGTCTTTGCAGGAATTGATCTAGTCACTCAGTGCACGCTATGTAAAGACCAACTTGTCACCGCCTAATACCCTACCACTTAGACAATAAAAGTTGAGTTGGCCTTTGGCCCGGACGGGACCACTGCCATTGCGCAACTTTTTCGGTTTAGTCATTTGATAAGTCATCCTCACATATTTCACGGCTCTCTGGCAAGAGCGCCTGAGATGAACCTTTGCCCATCTTCAGCATTTCTTTGTGATAACTTTCTGAACGCTTAAGTGTGCGGATTGAAAAGCACCACCCAACCTCAAAAAAATAAAGCAGATACAAGTAGTTTTTTGGCCCCACTGTCAAGCCTAGTTCTTAAGCATCTCTTTCAGAATTGCGTTGGTTGTTCGATTACAATGGCTTGCATGGCGGTCTGCAAGAAACTGATTCTGTCCCCTGTGCACGCATATGACAACAGCGGCACAGCATACTTGTGTGAAACACATAGGGGGGGGTTCATACTCACACCGACATTTCGCCTATCCCTAATGCCTGTACCCTGGTATGTAAAGCCACTTGCCACCGCACAATACCTACCACTTGACAACTAAGTGGATTTGCCTTCAAGGGCAAAGGGCCTACCTCTTGACGCGCAACTTTTTCGAGTTGAGCTATGGACAAACTATATAGGTTGTCCGGAAAGTTCTCAGCGTTTTGTGTTACTATTTTTTGTACATTCATTGCTGATTAAAAACTCATTCTCCCTTGCGTCTCAGTAGTACATCCTGAAGAGAATTCTTTGCGCTATCTGATGGTATATTGCCGTTTCACCATTGCTTGATAAACCCCCTTTTCCCAAGACTTTTTGATGCATGTCAGAGAGCACCTCGCGACATATTTCATCTTCCAACTAAAAGTTAGGTATTCGCACACGAGAACAAGAGCTCGACAAATTAACCAGGATGGGGGCCCAATAGTGTTGGAGAAAAAGCACCGTGCGACAATGGTTCGACAAATTTCGTTCTGGAGATTTCAGCCTTGAAGGTGAACCTCGTAGCGGTCGACCTAAAGCAATACTGACGAAGATTTGAAGGCGGCATTGTGGAGGGATGATCATCCCAAAGATGTTCGAGCAGTGGCCAGAAAAGTTATGCGTTGGCAGATCTACTGTTTTGCGGATGTCTGAAAGCATTGGGAAGTATGAAAAAACTCGAAAGTGGGTGCCTTACATTTGAGGCTGACGGCCAGAAATTGCACGTCTCGAGTTTCTTCTTCAGCTGCTTCTTGACACACAGAAAACCCCCGTTTTTTGGACGAATTGTTCACCTGGTTGGCAAGAAAAAGAGGATCATGTATGCATACAGGAGACTACCGGACAGGGGTTGGAGGGGCCGGCGCGACCCCTGAGGCAATTTCAAGAAGACCGAATCCTCACGACAAAAAGTTATAGCGTCAACAGTGTGGCCAGTCATCGACTGACGTCCTTCTCACAAGTTGATGCCATCTCGTTGGTATTCAAGCATCACGCGCACCGTAGTGATCCACTATAACTTTTTGTTACCAGGCCAAACCATCACAGCAGAGTCCTACTGTGAAGAAATCGACGAAATTTACCGAAAATTGCGTCAGCTGCAGCCAGCACTTGTCAACAGAGAGGGTCCGATTCTTCTGCATGACAACGCCCGCCCACACGTTTCACAAATCACTATCCATAAATTGAACGAATTGGGGGTTGAAGTTCTACCTCAACCGCCATATTCTCCAGACCTTTCACCAACCGACTATCACCTTTTCAAACATTTTCAGAACTTCCTTGCTGGAAAATACTTCATCAATTAGACCAGGCAAAAAAGGCTTCGTGGATTTCTTAGATTCTCGACCACCCAGTATTTTTTTGATGGATTTCTCGACTGGTGTCACATTGGCAAAAGTGTGCTGATTCGAACGGTGCTTATTTCGATTAAATCCGATGAGTATTAAAAAGTTATGATCGTTTAAAGTGAAACACTCAAAACGCTGAGAACTTTCCGGACAACCTAATAGTACATTTGCGGATCACAAATGAAAAGGAAATTCTCTGCAAAAGATCCCATTCGCTCGCTACAGAACGCCTTCAAATGCAGCTCAGAGTTGGGCCAAATTCACTTATCTACATGCTTACCCAGTCCCTCGGAATCACTTCTGTGATAATAGTTGATTATGGTACTCATTTCCCTGATATCAACAACCACCAAAGGAGTTCAATTTTCTAGAAATCATCCTGTGGGGTGGGCGATGGCAGCCGATGGAGAAGTGGTGAGTCTCCCACTCGTCTCTGAATCCTGATGGTTGCGGTCATTTGATCTTATATTTGTTTGATAGAGTGATTCTTGTATACATATTTCTTTGTTTGTCGTAAAGCACTCGAAGATGTACTGCATAAAGTAGAGAGGCGAACTTCTACAGTGAATAGAAAAGTAACAAGAATGGAACAATATTTTGAAAAATTCCTGATATCTATGGATATATTAGATCACGCATAAGAGGGGAGTGGGGCAGTCGGCACAGGGGTACGCGGCCCTCCTCGGATCGCTTCTTTTTGTCCATAGACCTATTCTCCTCCGCTGATGATTTAATGAGCAACAGTTCTTTTCTCAACATTACTGAAAGATGCTGCGCTCTTGGCTCGTTCAACACTCCCTGGCAAACTTTCGGCATTACCCTCACCTCCGAGGACTGTCCTTGCCATGTGAAGGCGAACGGGGCCGCAGTTGCACTAGCGTGCCACGTTTCCCGTTTGAAGTGCACGGAAACGGGACTGGAGTGTAGTGATACTGGGTGCAGTGCCAAAGTCCGCCCGCGCAATCCTTTCTGTGCAGCAATTGTGTCGATAACGAGATGTCGCAGCGAAACAGGCTCTCAGTAGTACAGAACAATCAGTTGAAGTGAGCGGGCACAGAGAAGTAGAGCGCTGGCCACTGGACGTGTGGTTGACCATGCAGCAGAGCAGGCATCCGGGCATCACCCGGCATGTACCAGGATCCACGAAGGTGAGTGTACAGTTCGCTTTCAAAGCCTGAAGAAGGCATTATATGCTGAAGGCCCGAGAATGAAAGTAGTATAAAAGTAAATAAGAACCCAGCACTACTTGGAATTTGGGTGCAGCGAGAACTTATAATATCGTTTACCTCAGTTTCGAATGACAGTTCTTATACTTGCACTATGCTTGAGTATTCTACTGATGGTGGTATGTGCCTATCACTGGTTTGCTCTGAAGCGGGTTTATAAACGACAGGACCTGCGTAAGCTACAACAAGTGGTCAAGAAAGCAAAAAAAGCTCTTCAATGTGGCAAGGTGATTTTTTTAATCTTCGCTGTTCTCCTCACTTGTGTCTGAGATCTTCTGAGGGCTTTCTCAAAAC